TCTTAAAACCATCTGATTTTTCTAATTTACGTCTGTCACTTTCTTTAATTAAATCAAAGTTATAACCTTGTTGAGAATAAAGTGGTTTCTTTATCAATTCCTTGAACGCTTCTGAAAGTGAAGATGAAGAAATTCTTGCCACTTGAAATTTAAATTCTGCTTTCATTGCTTCTTTCTGTTCATTGAACACTGGATCGAATAAAGCAACTTTAAAGAATTTCTTAGCTGGAATTTCAGGTCTCAAATTTGCATATTGACCATCAAACTGATTCACATATCGTGGTAATCCATCCGGTCCCTCTTCAACAGCATTTAATTCTTCATTGAAATAAGAATATGGATTATAACGGTATGAATTAATTGGACCATGTTCACCTTCTCCAATGTATTGTTTAACAGTTTTTCCATTTTCATCAAATTTCATAGGATAACATTCATTATATGCTTTACGTTTAGGATAATCAGACATAGTTAATTTATAACCATTTATGACTTTAATATTTCCTTGACCATCAGTAACGAAAACTTCATTTATACCATCAGGCTTTCCATTTGGACCCGTAATGTCTGCTTCGTGTGCTTCCCAATTTGGACCATGACGTTTGGCATATGCTTGAGCTTCTGGTAATGTTAAAACGTTTCTCATTTGTTTAACATCTTTTTGAAGACCAGCAACAATATGAACTAATTCTTTCATTCCGTCTGGAACTTTCATAGTTCTATTATATGGACCCTTTTTGTTTGTCCCTTGTTTTAATGGAACCTGTAGAAGATTTGCTATTTCTGTCATGTTTAATTATAAATAAAAAATAAAAATTAATTATAAAAAGTTAATCAAATTTAATGGAACCTTTATTTAAATCAACTATTATTTTTCCATGTTCACCTAATTGTTGATATTGTGTGTAAAGTTCATTAATGCTCATTGGTAAATTCACTTGATAAAGCATAACGTTCAACTGTTGACGACTAAACCCACTGAAAATGAAAAGTGTTGATAGATTTGATTTAATGTTTGTGCTTAATGCTTTGAAGTATTGAACAGCCATGAAGAATGAACACTGAATGTGTCGACATTGAGTTAATAATTGATTAAAATATGATTTCTCATTAGTTATTAGTTTTGATTTCACGGCATCATCTAGAAAAATTAGTGAATGCAAAAATTCTCTATCAAAATTTGAAATAGAAAGTGTTTCAAATAATTCATCCCTTTGTTTATTAATAATTTTATCCTCTAATCCTTGCTTCTTGATTGTATTATATAATTCTTTATACATTAAAAAGTTTTTTAAATAATCTTCTGCTTCTTCTTGTGATAAATAAATAATTGGAATTTTGATTAAATGCTTTAAAGATTCAAATGTATCATCTGAAGGTGAACCTGAACGGTTGATATAAATTAACACATGTGAATGGGGTGAAGTGTTAGCAATAATGATAATTTGTTTTAATATCGTTAATGTTTTACCTTTATTCTGTTTACCAATTGCTGCAGTGATTGAATTTAAGTAACATTCAGAATATGGAATTTTCATTAATTTTTCCTTAGATAGAGCATTTCTATTATCACTCAATGCTTCATTAATCATATCATCTATGTAGGTATTATATACATCTGTTAATTCTTCAGAATTGAAATCCATTTAATCAAAAATAAATTTATAATTTTAAACATTTCTATTCATCAATATTTCATCATATGAACTTCTATACTGTGGTGGTGTACCTGTTGGATGATATTTCAAACCTTCATCCGGTGTCCATGTCCAATACGTAGTCCTAGTAAACCAAACCTGAGGAGGATTTGTCACTTTTGAACAGTAAGTGTCATTTTCACCCTGAATGATTGGATAAGCTTTCACTTGTACTGTAACTTGTGAGTTGAAAGTTTCTAATCCATCAAAGAATATACCCGCTCCATCACGTTGAACTGGAATAGTGCATAAGAATGAAGTTTGGTCTTTCCATGTTCTAGCTAATGGTGTGCCATTATCATCATTCAGTGGTCTAGTTAATGAGTCCTCGTATTCTTCTGTGCATTCATTCACTCCATCTAAATCAGAAGCTTGAAGCATACGTGTAAAGAATATGTCGCCCACTGTGGTCATCGCTTGATCGGGGAAGTTTCTGGAATCTATAGTGACCTGAAGACCTCGAAGCATTGGATTTTCTAAAACCGTTCTTTGCATTGCATTCTTCGGAAATGTTAACACAACATCTGTAACATTATGAAGAGCGTATGAGAAATCCGAGCTGATACCTTCAGGAGTGATGCAACCTCCATTTAGTGAACGAACGTCAATATGTTGAGCTGGAATCATGAATGGATCTTCCTTACTGAATAAACGTGGTATTGCTTTAACTGATTCTTCAATTAAACCGTATCCTGGTGTAATGCATTTATCCTCTAAAACTTCCATCTTTGTGCATGAAATAATAACGTCATCAACTGTTGCGTCAGCAGATGTAGCGGCTAAGCTTGTAATTAATTTGGCAGGAAGTCCGATTTGTTGGAATTTGCGATCATATTTATAAACATGATTCATAATCTTTTCATAATTTTCATCAGTTATCTTTTCATAAACATAATTTTGTAAATCAGCAACTCTTAACGGGTCAACCTGACAAAATACTAAAGTATCCCTGAAAACATAATATTTAAGAATGATTTCACCAAATGATTTAGGATAATCATCGAACGCCTGAAATGCTAACAAATCATTTACCGGAATAATCATATCAAAAGTGACATCAACTTCTTCATTTGCTCTCTTGAAAACTTCTGAAGGGTCAATATATTTACCACATACTGAGTTATCATATTTTTGAACATTATTATATAACGAATGAACAAATTTTTAACTTTCCTTTCTGATTTTGGTTTATATGTTGCAAATGCGAAAGATTCACGGGCGCAATCCATCTGAAGATAACCGGCATCACCTCTTTCAGTTTCTACTTCTAATTGTTTAAAGCTTTGATTTGATGATTTGTAACCAACGAATAAACGCATGCATTTAAAAGCGGCATCACATGTGAAAGCTTTATTTGAAACTAGAGTTGCTTTAACTTTGCGTTTAATATATGTGTCACCTAATTGATTCACATCATGAGCCGGATTTGTAATTCTTAAATGAGTTTGTTTATCATCAAAATATGGAGTATCAGAGTCATAGCATGAACTTTCAAGTTCTCTATAATATCTTCTACCGTCATTCTTTGCGAATATTTCATTTATCTTTTCGAATGAATGAAACACATTTCCATTAATCGGTTTAGTGTTTGGCACCAAATAGTTAGTCGTCATTTATTATTAAATAAAAAATCAAAATTAAAAGATGAAAATGAATTTTTAATTTTAATGAAATAATCAACTATGGCTGCAGGTATATTTAAGAAACTGTGGATAAAGTAAAAAGAGGAGCGCATAAAGTTTGGGAAACAATGAAGAAAGGAGCAAATTGGATATTTAAGAATAAAGAAGCAATTAGTGACGTTGCTGAATCAATAACACCAAAAGCTGCCCCAATAGAGAAATATTAAATAAAGGAGAAAAAGTTTATCAAAGACTACAACCGATACTAAGATAAAAATAATATTTATTTATTTTTCCACTATCTACCTCCTATTTTATTAAGTATTCCTTCAGCAATTCCACCAATTGCGTTACCCTGCTTGTGCTCCCATCGCTGGATTACCTGCTTTAGTACCTAATACTCCCACCTATGATAGTTCCTGCCGTTTTCGCTACTGGTGCCAAAAAGTTTGCAACGGGTTTAATAACCTTTTTATAAACCCAACCTGCAGCTTTCTTAATTCCATCCATAATTTTTTAAAGAATCCTGCGCCATTTCTGATTTAATATTAAATAAAAAATATATTTCATCACTTATATTCTAATTTTTATTTAATGATAAATGAAACCAATTTTTAAAAATAAATAAAACAGAGAGGAAGAAATAAATGAAAGTGAAAATGTTCAACAAAAAAATAAACGTTGTTAAACCAATTACTGAAACAAAAATTTTTTCATCTGTTGAAGAATTTAATGACTATTATGCTAATAATAAAAAATTATTTGAAGAATTGACAACATGTAAATTGAATAAAATGTTTAAAGTTGATGGATTCAAAATTTCAAAAAATAAAAGGAGTGGTTAGTTTGAAAATCTATTCCTCAATCAAGAATCACCTCATTAATGAAAAATAGATGATTTAACAAAAAGAATAGAAATTATTGAAGAAAGAATGAATCAAATAATTGATTCATAAATGACTCGTTGAGCCTGGGTCCTTAAAGCCCATCACTGAGTTCAAGGTTATATTCATCAAATATTTCATTTATTAAATGCAACTTCTGCTAGTTTATTTATTTTTTCAATACGATCATTTGAAAGTCTATCGTTTAATTTTTTCTGAAGTTTTTCATTTTCTAGTTCTGAAACTTTATTTGGATGATATTTAAACCCGTTAAATTCTTTTTCCTCAGTTTTGATCATTAATTTACAAAGAACTTTTGTGGTTGGAATTCGTTTAAACCATTTATCATTAATATTTGTTATAAATTCAATATTCGGAATTAATCCCAAATTTTTGCATTTCAATTAATTTATTATCAATTGCAAAAGCAATAGGTTAATATTAAACTTACCTTTATAATATAAACTTTCTACATAATCATCGAAATAAACATCTACTTGTTTAACATTTTCAAGAATTGGTGAAAGAGCATCCATTAATTGATTGACGGTTACGAATCTTGATCCACTCATTTTCTTACGAATTAAAAAAATAAAAAAAATAAATTTAACTTAGTTTTAATTTTACGTAAGAAGTCAATTTTTTAAATCTTGATTTATTCAAAAACGTAAGAATAAAAACCGTAAGAATCATACATTTTTTACTTCATATGTTAAAAAAAATGATACAAAATCGTTCAATATTGTATGAATTCTTACGTTTACAAAAAAAGTCACACAACCCGCATTCATATACTACTATTCAATTGAATCCTCTCTTGGAATTATTAATTCGGAAATTCTTTTAATGTTAGAACCAATATGCTTTAATATTCTGATGTAATTCTCACCAGAAGCATAATTGTATTGAATCGCCATGATAATGATCTTTGTAAGTTGCTTGATGGAAAGTTTATACTTCGAAAATAGAACATTGGTGATGATATTGCACATTTCTTCAACAGATTCGTTGGATTCTAGGCGGAAGAGCTTTTCAAATGCCTCAATAAAGTCCGCATATTGCTTTTTATAGTCAGAACTCATATATGAATTTACCAAAATTATTTGAATAAATTAAAAAAAAATACCAATTCTATTTTATTCAATAATAACAAACCCTCTCAATTTTTCTTGTAAACTTCAGAAAATAAGTAAAAAAATAGAAGTCTTTACCCCAACAAAATAATAATATTAATAGAGTAGTAAGGGATACCAGATGGAAACTAACTTATGTGCAACAGGGATTGTCCGGTATTTGTTAACATCTTGGAATTGATTTTCAATATCCGAGCTTTCGGGGAAGTTAACGCGTCTCAATGCAGGATGCAATCAAGTAATACGACGCTACGGAAAATTTTCAAGGAATTACACTAGACTTTACAATGAAACTAGAAGAGAACAAGTCTATGGAAAAAAATGAAAATTGAGAGAAACCGAAATTTTTTCAGATAATATGGTCGCTAAATAAAATATATTCTTATTACTGCTTTTAGCTTTTTAAGACATTCCATTTTTTCACTTTTTTATGAAGTTTACAGGAAAATTTATAGAGGGTTTTTTCAGACAACTGTGGTGGAACATTATTGAAGGAATATAGAATTCCAATCATTCTTCCAAAAATTGAGCGAAGCTCAATTTTTGGAAGAATGATGTTAATTTTGCAAATTACCTCAGACTTTTCAGAGGATTGAGTGGCAACTCAATCCTCTGAAATAGTCTGTGGTAATTTTTAGTCTCTACACTATTTCAATATAAGCTCCATTTTTAAACAGTTTTTAAAAATCGAGCATTGAAAAGTGTGATGAGACTTGGTATTTTAATTTGAATGAATAGAAATTTCTATTATGTGTCATGGCAGTATGGAAATAGATGAATGTAAGGGATATTTCAAATCTTACAACTTATGATTTTTTAGTAGTATATGAGTGCGGGTTGTGTGACCTTTTTTGTAATCGTAAGAATTCTCACATAATTGAATGATTTTTGAACATACTTCCGAATAGCAGATTTTAAAAATTTATGAATAATTTATAAAAAGTTTTTATTCCTACAATTCCTATATTATCATTAATAAAAAGAATATATTTTTGCATAGATTCCAAATATGGTGTCAATTTTTTATTTAATATAAAATGTATGGAAAAAGAATAATATCTGATTTTGAACATTATTTGATTGATTTACTAATTGATCCACAAAGCTGTTGTAAAATTAAAAAAAAAAAAAAGGCATTGGGGCTTCCAGGCGCGTTGCGCCCTCTAGCCCCGAAGATGTTTAGTATAAAACCGCTTTTTAACTTCACTTAAAATGCCACGTAAGCTACGTAAGAATATACGTAAGAGGAAGAGAGCATTGAAACATCCAATAGTAAAACTGACACCACAACAACAGTTGCAACAACAAATGCTGAATGACCCCACTATGTTGCAACAAATGTCAAGCAATCCTATGCTTTTAAACCGAGTTGTTGGTGCACAGAGTGGAGGTTTAAGAGCGGCACTTTTAGCGAAAATGGCAGGCTATGGTGGAGCTGCAGACGGAACAGCATATAACCCTCAAAGTCAAATGAATTTGAGTTCACTCAAAAATCAAATAACAGATGTCAAAAAGTCAAACATAGACATACAGAAGCAAATAAGTGAAAACGAAAAGAAACTAGAATATGACAGACACACAAAGAAACTCAATGAGTTAAACGTAGAGAAAAGAAGAAAGAAAACAACTGAAAAGAACTAAGTACAGAGGAATATGCGAAAAAAGTGTCAGAAAAAGCAACAGAAGTAGCAAAAATGGAACAAGATGTCATAAATTTGAAAAACCATACTACTCGATATAAAGTACTGAAAGATGAAGAGATAAAACAAAAAGCCCTGAAGACATATTGGATAGCGATGAGTATAAAAAAGAAGTTGAAGCAAATGTAAAGGCAGAAAAACTTTTACAGTTGCAGAACCAAACCGTACAGTATGAAAACTTAGCACAAGAAAGTAAAAATAACGACGCAGCCATGCAAAAGGCAATGAAAAGCGCAGAAATATATAAAAGCTAACAATGACTGGTTAGATGCCCAAGCCAACGCTAAAGCAGCCCAGCTTATAGGGTCAATAAGGACAAAAATACAAGCGGATGAAGACAGTTCAAATGAAGCTTTAACAAATGCTGACTTTAAGAACGCCTTCGAAGCTCTTCATAGTAAGGTGAAACAAGTGAACGACTTCTCATCTGGAAAGAAACTGAAGTCTGAAGGTTTCGACAAAGAGTTAAAAGAAGTAGCACAAAATATGACGAAAATAACAGATGCAGCAACGAGACAGGCAGTTCAAAGTGCCTATGACGCCGTTAGAGCAACTGTTGTGAAAAGTCAAGAAAAAGAGTTACAACAGACCAAAACAGACCTAGTAAATGCTTTCTTAAAAACGAAAAGTCAGGTAGGACATTACGCTGCAGATGGAACATATGTGCCAGCTGGTGGAACTTATATACCACCAAACCCTCCAAGAGAAGCACCTGCACCAGGACTACCTAGAACATTTACATCGTCACATGGACACAGACACAGGCATGCACCAAAACCAACACAACAACCAGCACAACAACCACCTCCACAACCAGCACAACAACCAACACAACAACCAGCACAGCAACCAACAGTTCAAACCCCTGCACAACAACAACCACAAACAGAGCAAGGACATAAAAGAAGTAGAGAACAAGGAAACCAAGAATTCTTAAAAAGGCTTAAGGAAGACTATGGTTACCCAGATAGTATTGACTTTAGTGACAGATATAAAGAAGCTATTCGAAAGTTCAAGGATGGAAATACTGACCCGAACCTATTTAGCTTTATGGTTCAGCACCAAATGGGATATAATTTCAAACCTGGAAAATACAAGCTCGCTAAGGGATATGATTTAATAGCATATCATCCAAATGACATGACTGAATTTACTCCGAGATATTTGATGTCAGAGCTAAATGACAATTCAACTCCCGTCATGAAACGCGTAAAAAATAGAGACGGAACGAAAGAAGAAAGGTTTATGAGTCCGGATGACTTAGAAAGGGAAGTTGTTAAAAACGGTCTCGGAATATATGAAATGCCAGCAGATGAGGTACAAGAAACTCCACAGGAAGAACTAGTTCAGATACAACCAGACATGGATGAAATAGTTCAGCAACAACAGCTAGAAGAGCCTGAAGGAAACGAACAAGTCACTCCTTTGGAAACTAACTTCACAGAACTAGATGAAGATTTGGAACAGCCGAAAAATCTTGACCCTCAACAAGAGTATGCGGAGAATATGGAATCTTTCCAAGAGTCTAAAAAAAATTCGGCTGACATGGTAGAAGAATATCGAAAAATGTTTGCCGACATACAAAAGACTCCAACACCAGATGAAAATATTCAGCATAGAATGGAAGCACTGAAAGAAAATGTACACAAATACAACAACCCTTTTTACTTACGAGCATTTAACGTTCAATCTTCGGATGAACTCGGTGAAAATAAAAGGTTAAATTTCAAGAAAACATATAGAAATGAAACATTGTTTAAAGTTCATTCAGAACCTAACCAAGATGGAAACAAACCTACTTTTGTTTCTGCAGACGATGGAACTACAATGAGATGGGGTCATAAAGCTAACCCGGATAGGTGGTTCATAAACTTACAACCACAATTCCAAGAAGTTGTAGACGCAATGGAAGTCAATGGTGAACCAGATATAGCTGGTATTTTCAGCGCGGCTTTAATGCCATTGAAAGATATGAAACATGCAGATATTTTGGACCAGTATGAAATGAACATGGCTGATGGAAATATAACACCTGACGTTCTAGAAACATTTATCTCAAAGAACTACACAGAACCATAGAGATGGTATATTTGGTGAAGAGTTTAGAAAGAAAGTTAGGGAGGGAGAAGGAAGAGAACCTATTGTACATGACCTTGCAAATGAAAGTTTGCAAATGTCATAAAAACTTACTTTGCAGACGATAACTGAGAAGGGATGAATATTTAAGAAAACTCAAATGGACATACCAAATGAAATGTTAGTATTGAAAAACATGTTCCTTGACAAAATAAAACCAACTACAGAAATAAACGACGCAAGACTGAAAGATTGGGTAAAAGCTTTCCCATTCACAAAAGATATAGTTGGTAACATGGAAAGAAAACCAGAATGGCTACAAAAACATATATTTGGAAACGAGCTTATTTCCATATGGACAGGCACTGTTTGAAGAGCTTGAACCGGAAACTCAGGACAGAGTCATGCAAACAATACGCAAAGACTCAAATACAAACTATGACAAACTCTTTCTAGGATATAGGTTACCTGAGATGGGCGACCAGAGCCCAAAGGCAAAAAGGACATGGGAAATTTACAACACATACTAGGTGAACATGAGGCAAAGATGCAACAACTTGAAGCAGAGGGCAAGTTACCAAAGCGACACCAAAGAAGAAGAGTAGAACAAAGTGAAAGTAGTGAAGAACTAACTTCATCTAGTGAAAGTAGTGGCAATGAAGGAAAAAGAAGAGTTAAAAACTCAGTCAGGAAGAAAGTAAAGCTTGGTCCACGTGGGTTCTATTATGACACATAAACCCAACTATTCTATATTTTTACCCATATGAAATGTACGCCGCTCAGAATATAACGCCAACAGTTTTGGATGCTATGAATGGAAATGTTTCCGAATGGTATAACGAATGCGACAATGCCATTAGAAGGTCAGAAATAGTTCCTGAACTTACGAATATACAACTGCTGTTTCTTATGGAAACGTAGGTGAGTTTGGTGAAGGTTCTTCAACAACAGTAGATATTGCTTGCGACAGGTTTCATATAATTTCTATTGACAACTCTTCTTATACGTGGAACAAGACATTGAAATAAAACCTTCTGCCAAGTTGTCTGACAAGAAAGGTTGCAATGGAATTTTCTATGTCGGATACAATATGCTCCAGAAGTTTTCATGGGATATAAGATATATTCTAACTCTGACTTAGTTCAACAGTAACATGGGCAAACTATGAATGGT